TCCTGTTTCCTTTCTTCTGCTTGCTTTGGGTTTATTTTACTCTTCTATTTCTAGTTTCTTTAGGTGGAAGCTTATATTATTTATTGAAAATCTTTTCTCTCTTCTAAAATAGGCATTTATGGCTTTACATTTACCTCTAAGTACTGTTTTAGCTGCACCCCACAAATTCTGATATATCTTTTCATATGCATCCAGTTCAAAATATTTCTGTTAGCTGCCAGTTATTTTCCTGCAGAACTTGATTTCCATTTGATGTCATTTCCCTTCATCCTGAAGTTCTTCCTTTAGCATTTCTTGTAGTTCGATTCTGCTGGCAACAAATTCTCTAGCCTTCACTTATCTGAAAATGCCTTTATTTCACCCTTCTTTTTTGAAAGATCACTGAGCATAGAATTGTAGGCTAATAGATTTTTTTCTTTAAAGAATTAAAGTGTTGTTCCATTGTCTTTTTGATCTCCATCACTTCACGTGAGAAGTTAGCTGTCTTTCTTATTGCTGTTCTCCTGCAGGACCTCCCCTTCTCCAGTGGCTACTTTTAAGATTTCCTCTTTATCTTTGGCTTCCATCAGTTTGATCATGATGTTCCTATGTGTGGTTTTCTCTTTATTTATCCTTTTTTGGGTTCACTGAATTTTTCGAATCTGTGTATTGATACTTTTCAACAAATTTGGGGAAATTTTGGCCATTATTTATTCAAATATTTTTTATGTCCCACTTTCTCTTTCCTCTATTTCTGGTATTTTAATTACATACATATTAGGCTGCTTGATATTGTCATTAAGACTCTATGCATGGTTTTATTAGTATTTTTTTCTCTTTGTTTTCCATTTGGATAATTCCTATTGACCTGTCTTTATGGTCACTGACCTATTTTTCTGTAGTGTCTAAACTTAAGTTCATCAAGTGAATTTTTTTTTTAGATGTTGAGGTTTTTTTCAGGTTTAGAAGTTCCATTTGGTTCTTTTTTTTTGTTTTTTTAATAGTTTTTACTTCTCTGCTAAGATTCCCATCTGTTCACTTTTCTTTCCCTTAATACTTTCAACGTATTGGTAGTAATTGTTTTAAACTTAAATAATAATTCTAATAATTTAAAAACCTGTTAATTCTGATGGTCGCTTTATCTCTTGATCATTGGGTTACATTTTCCTGCTTCTCGTGTCTTTTCAGTTTTTATTATATGATGGCTACTATGAGTGGTATATTGTAGGGAATCTGGACTATATTATCTTCACATAAAGCCATTGAATTTTAGTTTGACAGGCACTTAAATTCCTGGCAGATCCCTTCATCAGCACAGACTTTATTTTAGACTTTGTTAGAATAGGTTCGTCTTAACTTTGTTCTTAGTTCTAGAGCTTGGTGCTTTCTCCCAAGGCATGGCCTTTCTGGGGTTTCAGCTGGATGCCTAAAGTTCATAGGGAAGTGTCTCCATTCTAGATGAACCAGAACTCCCAACTTTTTTCATCATTGCATGAACTCTGATATGTCTTTTCAGGTCTCTGTCCTACTACCCCCCAACAGCTGCTCACAGCTGGGCCTTACGGAGTCTCATTCAGAACATGTGTAGCCCAGCTCTTGGCCAAAGCCCCAAGGGAAACGCCACACAGACTTCTGGGGCCCCATCTCTGTGCAGTTCCCTCCTCTCCAGGATGTTGCTCTGCAAGTCCATCTGTCTCAGCAGCCCCAAACTCTGATCTCTGCCTCATCCGCATTTCCCCACGTCACAGAAAGCATCCCCGGCCCATATCCAGGGTGAATGTGGAGCTCACTTCATATGTTTCCCTCCTCCCAAAGATTGGAGTCCTGTGCTGTAGCCCAAAGCCAGCTAATACTTGCCTCACATATTTCTTCCAGTTTTCAAGTTGATTGTGGTGGGAAGGCAAGTCTAACACTCACTACCCCGTCATGACCAAAGGCAAAAGTCTAAGCAGTATGTTTTTTTAATTGAGGTATCACTTACATACAGTACAATGCACAGATATTAAATGTTCAGTTCAGTAAATTTTGACAACTGTATACACCCTTTTAACCACCACCTGCTGTACTGCTTTCTAATGCCATGCGTTACTGTTACTTGTCCTATAATTCCATATAAGTGGAATCATAAAGTATGAACTCTTTCATCTCTGCTTTTTTCTGAGCATAATTTTTGAGATGCAACCACGTTGTTGTATATATCAGTAGTTCATCCTTTTTTAAATGGAGTATACTATTCTGTTATGTGAATGTGCCACAGTTCCATTCTTCTGTTGATTGAGTCGTTTCCAGTTTGGGACTGTTATTAATAAAGCTACTATACATATTCTTGTACAGGTCTGTTTGTGGACGTATGTCTTCATCTGTCCTAGGTAAATAGGTTATAAGGTTGAGGTATGTTTGACTTTATAAGAATCTGCCAAGCAGTTCTCCAAGACGGTTCCACCATTTTACACTTTCCCTGACAATATATTACATGAGAGTTCCAGTTGCTCCACATCTTCACCAACATTTGGTGTTGTCAGTGTTTTTGAAATGATAGATCCTTGGGTATTTTGCATTGGAATATCTGCATTTCTTTGACAGTGAATGCTGTCAAGCATCTTTTCCTGTGCTTATTGACCAGTTGTATCTCTTCTTTTGTGAAGTGGTCTAGTCTTTTGCCTATTTTAAAAATTGGGTTATTAAGTCTTATTTCTGTTGATTGGCAGGAGTACTTTCTATATTCTGGAAGTGAGTCTTTGCCAGATATGCGTACTGCAGATATATTTTCCAGTCTATGACTTGCTTATTGAGTTTCTAAATGACTTTATTGCTTTTTCTCTATGTTTGCCTGTTTTCTTTTTCATTAATTTCTACTCTTATGATTTTTTTTTCTCCCATTGCGGAGCACAGGCTCCGGATGCGCAGGCTCAGCGGCCGTGGCTCACGGGCCCAGCCGCTCCGCAGCATGTGGGATCTTCCCGGACCAGGGCACGAACCCGTGTCCCCTGCATCGGCAGGCAGACTCTCAACCACTGCGCCACCAGGGAAGCCCTCTACTCTTATTTTTATTATGTCCTTTCTTATAACTTTGAGTTTAATTTGCTCTTATTTTTAGATTCTAGAAGCTTATATCGCTGGCTTTACACCTATCTTCTTTTCTAATAAAGGAATGTAAAGCTAAAAATTTCCTTCTAAACACAGATTTACCTGCATCCAGAAAATTATGGTATGTTGTTTTCATTATCATTTAATTCAAAATATTTCAAAATTCTCTTTGTGATTTTTCTTCTCTAACCTATGGGTTAATTAGAAGTGTGTTGTTTAGGGAATTCCCTGGAAGTCCAGTGGTTAGGACTCTGTGCTCTCGCTCTCACTGCCTGGGGCCTGGGTTCAATCCCCAGTCGTGGAATTAAGATCCCGCAAGCCATGGGCTTCCCTGGTGGCGCAGTGGCTGAGAGTCTGCCTGCCGATGCAGGGGACACGGGTTCGTGCCCCGGTCCGGGAAGATCCCACATGCCGCGGAGCGGCTGGGCCCGTGAGCCACGGCCGCTGAGCCTGCGCGTCTGGAGCCTGTGTTCCGCAAGGGGAGAGACAAAAAGAGGGGGCCCCCAAAAGACAAAAAAAAAAAAAAAAAAAAAAAAGATCCTCCAAGCCACGCAGTGCAGCCAAAAAAAAAGTGTGTTTTTTAATTTCTAAATATTTGGGATTTTAAATAGATCTTATTGTTTTCGATTCTAATTTAATACCACTGTGGTCAAAGTCTGGCACGCTGCAGGGTGAGCCCTGTGAGGCAGCCTCCCTGATGACCCACCTCGGGCCTGCAGAGCCTCACACACCCAGACTGATCCGGCTGAGCCCTGTGCTGGGCCAGCTCCGTGCCTGGGCCTCCACCAGGAGCACTGCCTCTCAAGAGCTCTCTGCAAATTACCCGGCAATCAGGCTCTGTTGCCTTGGTCCATCCGTGCACCCATTCTGCAAGAGAGCTATTTCCTTCCTTCCTTCTCTCTATATTTCCAGTACCTCCTCCCCCCGCCCCATCCTTACCCTCAAGTTGCTTCCTACTTCACAGAAGAAAATTTCCCCAAGCTCCTACCATCACAGAGCCTTGACCGCTGAGGCCGCGTTGCAGGGCTCACCCTGCAGTGGGAGCAGGCAAACAGCTGTGCGGGTAACCATGGGCTCACAGTTCCTTGGGGAAGAGGGGAGACTGGATGGTGACAGAGCAGTGGGGATGGCGCTGCTCATTTCAGTGGGAAGTTCTGTAATACGGGAGCCTGCTACTCAGCAAGGGGTAGGTATTCAATGCCGTTTTGTTATAGCTTTGTTTTATATTATAAACTCGATATGTGCCGTACTAAAATAAATTAGGAAAATGTAAAAAAAAACACAAAACCCCATAAGTAAACAATGAAAGATCACCTGAAATCTACCTCCCCTGCAAAAGGTAGCCATGGTTAGTTAATATTTTGATGGCGTTGTTATTAAAAAAAAAGATCTGGTCCCTGCCCTACGGACCCTTGAAGTCTGACCTCCTACTCAAATGTGAATAAAAGCCCCAGACACCATGCGGCTGGGTAGCAGCATGTTAGGCTGGATGAGCCAAGAGGAGTGCCCTCCCAGTTCCTGGGGGAAATCGGGGCGGGGAGAGGCGCATGGAGGAGGTGGTCCAGGAATTGGATCTTGAAGGTTGAGGTCCCCTGTGCTTGTCTGCTGTTTTTTTCCCTCCTACCTCCCCTTGTTCAGTGTCTCTCCAGGACAAGGCCTGCTCCCAACTCTCATCCCCATCCCACGCTCAAGGTGAGGCCAGCGGGCAGGGCCCACTCCATGTGAGGAGCAGGGCAGCAGAGAGACCAGGAGGCACAACTCCTGAGTGTGCTGTTCCTCTGTAGCCTGTACATTTGTGCAGTGCACAGCCTGGGTGACTGTACATGGTAGTCGCTCGAGGAGAGTCCCGCCACCCCTTCCTTCTGCCCCTTACACTGGAGCAAGATGGGGCGGGGCCGCATGTTCCACCCTCCTGGGTCTGTATCCCCCTCCAGACAGCAGCGACAGTGAGCTGGAGCTTTCCACGGTGCGCCACCAGCCGGAGGGGCTGGACCAGCTGCAGGCACAGACCAAGTTCACCAAGAAGGAGCTGCAGTCCCTCTACAGGGGCTTCAAGAATGTGAGTGCCCCCCATCCCCCCAGGAGAGGCCCTGATCCCCCCGGCTTTCCTGTCCCTGGCTGCAGGGCGCAGGCAGACCTTCTGACACTTCCCATGGCACAGTGAATGTCCCAGGGCCTTTATGGGGCCTGTGTTTTGTGGGAGAGCTGTCCGGGGGGTGGGCCAGGTCCTAGAATCAGTGTTCTGAGGCACCACACCCCCTTCTGTGTGTCTCGATGCTGGTGCAGGGGAGGAACCTGCAGAGGGACCAACCTGGCATGAGGGGACTCACCACCCCCTCCCGCCGTGCCCACCCCACCCCCCAGGCTTTCCCCAGCACGGGGCTGGTGGAGCCCAGCGGTGCCTCAGGCAGCAGGTGTCCCCCAGAGGGAGGAGAGAGCCCAGGCCCTGTGGAGTCAGGGTGTGGGAGGGGGGTGGCTGGGATTACTGAGAGGGGTGCCTTCCTGCTGCAGGAGTGCCCCACGGGCCTGGTGGATGAAGACACGTTCAAACTGATTTACTCCCAGTTCTTCCCTCAAGGAGGTGAGTCTGAGGCCAGGCCCCCCAGTTCCTCCAAAGTTCCCGCTTCCCTGTGGCAGCCCTGCAGAGGGTGGGCATCCCTTTTATGGGGAGGGGACCCTCACCCACACACACCCTCCCCAGCATCCCTTGCCCGGTGCTGCCTCTATCCGGCAGGCAGCGGGGGGACTCCAGCCCAGGACTCAGCAGCGATATACCGAGGGTGCTGGGGGTAGGGGCTCAGGCGGCCCCGACACTCCCAGCCTTGCCCTTGGTCTCCCCAGATTCCACCACCTATGCGCACTTCCTCTTCAACGCCTTCGATGCAGACGGGAACGGGGCCATCCGCTTTGAGGTAGGTCCCTGTCGACCCCTCCCACGTCCCCTGGTCCTGCATCTCCCGGCCACGGTGCCACCCCCTTGGGGCCGCCAGAGGCTCAGACATGACCCTGGTGTAAACGGTCCAGTGCGTCACCCAGGGAACGAGTGGACTCTGCTTGGCTGGCCCTGGGCCTGACTGTGAAGTCAGTGAAATTTGATTTTGCTGTCTGGCTACCCTATTCTCAGCCTTTCCTTCCATTCCAGCCCCGCCAGGCCAAGGGAGCTGTTAAGGTGCAATGAGGCGGTAGTGACCCAACGTGAATTTGCATTTGAAAAGGGGGCAAGGTTTAACTAGAGGTCTGTGCTAAGGGGATCTGGGCACCCCGCCCTGGAACTTAGCCCCTTGCCTGAAAACAGGCAGAGCATCCCTGCCCGAGCAGGCTCAGGGGTCGTCCCAGCAGCACTGTGAGCGAGCCTGCCTGTCCCACCCCCGCCCCAGCCGCCTGCCCCCGGGAGGGCCCTGCCTGGGTTCTGTGCGGGCAGCACGTGGGCTCCACTGAGGCCCCCGCTGTGGAGCCCAGGCCCCTAAAAATAGCTGCAGGAGAAAAGCTGAAACCTCTTCGGAGAGGAAAACCTTGCTGAGAGCCAGGCTTGATCGATAACCCCCCAGCTCGGCTTCCAAGGCCAAGGGCGGCTGACGGGAAAGTGAGAGAGAAAGCCCCTGTGCCAGCTGGGGTAATAATAACTCAAGATGCTTCTCAGCTTCCCTTATCGCTCCAGCAGGCCCGCTCGCTGACCCTCGGCCGGGGTGGGGCAGCCCAAGGCCACCGCCAGCTCTGTGACCACAGGGGTCTCACCTTCCCCCGGCCACACCCTTAGTGCATTTGTGAACTTATAGTGTTTTCAGCCTTTTTGTTTTCAGTTCTGCCTGCACATGGTAAAAATCCAATCAGTTCAAAGGAGTAAACAGGGAAAATCCATTTTCCTTCCCTGGTCCCACCCCTGTGGCCGGTTTCTTGTGTGTCCTTTAAGAGGTACCCGAGGCTCCTGGGAATGAAGTGTGAGAAGCAGTTGTGTGACGGACCCAACCAGGACTCTGGTGATGGTTTCTCTCATCCAGGAATCAGATGACCAGACAGCTTAGCAGGGCCCCCGCATAGCGGCGGGTGTCAGGAAGGTCTCCATCACCCTCCCGTGGTCGCCTCTCTCACCGTGGTCCCTTTAAGGGGGTCGATGGTGGGTCTTTGTTGGGGAGGTGCTGTCAGTGGCTGAGCGGGGGGCGCTGGCGCTGACCCCCTTCTGCAGGCACCTTCTCAGAAGGTCATGCTTCTCCCTCTTGAAATTAATTCTTCCGATTTCTTATGGGGAGGTTTGCTTACCTTGGGGACCTTCTTGTTTGTTCACCTTTGGCATCTTGATATCAATGCTCTGCTCTAGGAGGCCTTTTTCAGGAAGGGAGGGGGCCGTGTATCTCCCAGGGGCCTTCCAACGGGCAGGGCCTGATCCTGGGTGCCCCATGGGTGGGGAATCCCTGTGGTCAGGAAGGATCCAGAGGGGCTGGGGGGAGACACTCAGCCCTCCTCGCTCCCTCAGACCAAACCTCTCAACGTGCTCTTAAAACAGAAAGTCAGGTCAGCTTATCAATATTTACAATGATCCCATCCTTTGTGTATATTCTTGGGATAATACACATACATGTTAATTCGAGTTTATTGATATGGTGAAATATTGTAACTTCCCTGCCCTCACCTGAAAGAGTAAGTAGACGGCAGAACAAGCAGACCTCAGGCCTGGTGGCTGCCCTGTCCATTACCTGCCCCTGCGGTAACTCGCTCCCTGTGCCACTGGCCAGATGATGGCTGTGGTCAGTACCCTCGGGAAGGCCTGCAGCCCCGTGATCTAATCACCCCCGCCCCACACTGAGCCCCTGCTCTGCACTCTGGGCTGTCCCAGCCGGTGTCACCGAGGAGCCCCTCAGGGACAGCACAGAGCAGGGGCTGTGGATACAGTGGGCTTCATACACCTCGGCATTGAGACCAAGGAGCTCGGACGAGCGGCAGTCCCACGTGAAGCTGTGCTGTGTGCGGCTGGAAATTTAGAACCAGCACCTGGACGTGGGCTGGCTAGACTTGGGGTCCTCTGTGTGTGACTGGGGACGGGCCAGTGGTCTCACAGGGGACATTCCGACCCACCTCTCTCCTAGCACCGTCCCTATCATCCTACACACCCGCTAAGGGACACCGAGTAGGGACAGTCCTGAGTGTGGCTGAGTGTGGCTACACGGCACCTGAGGAGACTGGATGGGAGGACAGTGGTGCCGAGGTTCCCCCATGCCCACACGGGAAGAGTGGGTCCTGTGCGGGACCCACTCGTTCCCTGGTGCCCAGCTTAGGAGTCCGAGCCTTTGCCTCCCACTGGGAAAGCCCGTCATACCCCAGGGAAGAGGCGTGATGTGGCTTCAGGGACACGCTGACTCTTCACTACTTCTGTAAATCACACACGAGCTCAGCTTCAGTGGTTGGCATTCCTCAAACTCAGGCACATAAGAAATATCACCCTGTTTCTCCCTTCGTACATCTTTATTTTCTTCACTTATACACACACAGGACTTTCAGGCTCCAGTAGACTTACAGGATGTGCTTTGGAACAACAGCAGTTACCACCCCCCAGACACACCCGAAGAAGCAACTACCTCCCTTGTTTTAGCCGATTGTCACTCTGTCTTCTTGTCGCCTAATAGCATCGTGTTATTGCTCCGTCCCGACTGCCCAGCTCTAGATGCTGCCCGTTGACTCCCTGCACGGGTGGGGAGTTGGGTCTTCTGCACACATGCCTTTGCCATCCCCTGGCTTTCCAGGACAATGGAGTTCAGATTGGATAAGCGCTCTCGGTTTACTCGTGATGTGAATTTGTTCCCCAGATGAGCCTTGCGGTGAACTGTGATTACGTTCCCCTTCCCTGCACACATTTTTATTTTGCCTTCAGTTAACTGTGGTCCCGATTTGTCGTTTGCCTGGTGTCTGTGACCTCGTCAGTGATTCAACGCCGTCCTTCTCCAGTCATCTGAACGGGCATCTCCCTAGCCTTCGACCAGCTCCATCATCCTGGTGCTGGGTGCCCTCTGGGGACCTCTTCCCCTCTCTCCTGGGTTGGGTCTCCTGGTTCTGGAATCCTTCATCTTCTTCTCCCTTGCTTTACTCTCTCTTTTCAGAAGCATGTCTTGCAGGAGTTTCCTACAGAAGAGTACGTGGGAGGTAATTTCTGAGCCTTTGAACGCCCGGAAGTGACTTCGTTCCGTTCTCACTCTTGCCTGATCTGCTGTGTGGGACCAGAGCTACGGCGGAAGCCGTCCTGCTGATTCCCGACCCTGCGTACAGGACCTGATCTTGTTATTGTTGTTGTTGTTTCTGTTTGGTTTTGTTTTCCTCTCTGGAAGCTTGTAGGATCCTGTCCTTGCACCCGTTTTCTGAAGTGTCTCGTGATACGTGCCTGCAGGTCACACCGTGGGCTGTTTCCCCGCATCGTTAGGTCCTCGGCAGGACCTGAACACTCAGTCTTCCCCTTCATTGCCTCTTGGACACGCTTCTCTCCGTTTCCTCCGGCTCTTCTTGGAGCTCCAGCTGGTCAAGTTTCGGTCCCTCTGGAGTGGACCTCTCATTATCCGCTTTTCTATCCTATTTTCCAGCTCTGCCTTTTCACGCTGCTTTATGGAAGATTCCATGTGCTTTTCCAGCCCTTCTTCTGAGTCTGTCATTTTGCTTTCTCATTTTTAATTCCCAAGAGCTCTTTTTTGTTCCCAAGTATTCCTTTTTTATAGCATCCTATTCTTATTGTAGGGATGCCAGATATCTAATCTCTGAATCTAATAGTTTATGTTAAGTATTTTTTTCTCCTGGAATAATTTTTTGTTTCATCCAAACTGCTTTTCTCTGTTTCCCTTAGTCTTCCTTTCTCATGATACAGGCTTCCTCTAATCCAGAAAATCTAAAATTTGAGTGGGGGAAATTCCCTGGCGGTCCAGGAGTTAGGGCTCAGCGCTTTCACTGCTGGGGCCTGGGTTCGATCCCTGGTCGGGGAACTAAGATCCCGCATGCCACATGGCGTGGCCAAAAAGATAAAAAATAAAATTTGAGGGCTTCCCTGGTGGCGCAGTGGTTGAGAGTCCGCCTGCCGATGCAGGGGACACAGGTTCGTGCCCCGGTCCGGGAGGATCCCACATGCCGCGGAGCGGCTGGGCCCGTGAGCCATGGCCACTGAGCCTGCACGTCCGGAGCCTGTGCTCCGCAACGGGAGAGGCCACAACAGTGAGAGGCCCGTGTACCGCAAAAAATAATAATAATAAAAAAATTTTAAAATTAAAAATAAATAAATAAAAAATTAAAAAATAAAATAAAATTTGAGCGGGACCAAGCCCTGTGGTGCAAAGCCCTGTCCCTCCCTGCTTGTCCTCCATTCCCCCCCATAGACAGACCTTCTCTGCTCCCCTTCTTTCGGAGCAGCCTGAAAGGACCCCATGGGGCAGGGAGGGCTTAACCTGCAAACCTTCCGGAAGGGGCAGGAAAGACTTGCTTCCTACCAACTGTTACAACAAAACAGTTGAAGTTTTCACACGGAAGCCATTCGAACGTTCATTCACATTAGTAATAAACTGTCTGTCACACCTGTGACTGCACACAGCTATAGCATGACCCCAGAACTGAGCACTGTTAGTTTAGTTTTTAAGCTGTAAGTTTTTAAGCAGCTTGACACGCAGACACTTGGTAAAGTGAAAATAGAGCACCCCCTTCATTAAAGGAGCACCCCGAGGCCTTCTCTGTCAGTGGCAATGCATTAAATGGGTCTAAGACACCATACGTTTGAATGTCTTTATTTGAGATGATCAGTTCCAGCCACTGTGCCATCCCCGCCACACACATGCACACTCACAGGCACGCATGTGCACACACACACACACTCACACTCACACTCACACTGTATTGACCTGATGGACACCATCTGCCCGCTCTGTGATGGAGGTGCCTCACCTATACAGGTGTGAATTTCAGTGGAAGCCACACCGCGAACTGGAAATAGAATCTGAGCGCTGGACCGTCACTCCTCCCCCTCCCCTTCCTCCACAGGACTTTGTGGTTGGTCTCTCCATCCTCCTGCGAGGAACAGTCCACGAGAAACTCAAGTGGGCCTTTAACCTTTATGACATTAACAAGGACGGCTACATCACCAAAGAGGTATGGGGGTGGCTGGGGAGGCTGGGAGTGACCTGTCTGCCCCCCACCCCACTGCTCTATATCCCCAGCCTCTCTCCTCCTCTCTCCTGCTGCCCTGGCTTCCTGTCCCCGCTCCCTGGCCAGAGACACAGCTCACAGCCTGGCCTTGGAGGGGACAGCAGCCAGGACCTCTCCTCCTCTCCCGGGCTCTCAGGCCTGGATACCTGGGTGCAGGGGACGTGGAGCTTTGGTGCCCCTCACCACGTGTCTCGATCCCGTTCAACAGGTGTCCTGGATCATCCTTTCTTATGGAGAGGTCCCGAGGGAGACACAAGTGGAGAAGCTGGGAGCAGGGGTGGGAGCTGGCCTTGGCTCCCACCAATTGAGGGAGAGCAGTGTGGTCCCTTAAGGCAGGGTGCAGACGGGGGCAGGGGGGTGCCTGACCACACAGGCCCACAGTCTGGCTTCGTCTGGCCCAAACATTTTTCTGTCTCTGAAATAGTTGCTACCGTTTCAAATTCTGGAGATTGCATTAAAAATCTAGCTCCAGCTGCTCTTGGAGAGATAGAAGCTTGCGCTGAGTGGACTGGGTGAGGGTGAGCTCGCCTCTCTCCAGCTCCCACAGCTCTGGCCACTCACTCACCACCGCCCCTGAGGTGCCCCCCACACTTGGATGCGGCCCCTCCCCTCAGACCCTCGAACCCTCACCCCACCTCCTTACAGCCAGGCTCAGGCCAGCCCCTCCGGCCCCCCTGCAGGAGATGCTGGCCATCATGAAGTCCATCTATGACATGATGGGCCGCCACACCTACCCCATCCTGCGGGAGGACGCGCCCCTGGAGCACGTGGAGAGGTTCTTCCAGGTGAGCGCTCCAGCCCCGGGCTGCGCGGGGAAGGGCGGCTGGAAGAGGAAGGGGCTTCCGCTCTTAGGGCAGTCCTGGGCCTGCCACTCCCCTCTGTGGGCCTCCCCGCCCCCACGAGGAGGTTCAACTTGCATCCCCCATCGGGCTGGTTGTCCGGATGCCAAGGAACGAATTAAAGCCATCCCCGCTCACTGATCTGCCAAACTGCGTCTCAGAGCAGGCAGGGGCTCACAGATTCCAAGGTCGCCGACACCCCCAGCCGTGTTCTTGTGCCTTCCAAGAGCTGCCCCCCGCTCCGCCAGGGACCTCTCTGCAGGAGGAGAGGGTTGGGGTGACTGCTTTGTATCCATGGGGACTGACGGAGCTAGGACTCCGCCTCCCACTTGCTGGGGGTCCTTTAGACATGTCTCCATCCTGACTTCAGCTGCTCCACCTGCCCCGGCTGCCTGTCAGCAAGGTGAGGGGGTCTGACAAGCACGGGGCTGCTTTCTGGGGAGCAGGAGCCGCTGGAAAGTGTCTGGGGTGGGAGACAGACTGGGGAGACCCCAGAGAGGTCGGCTGCGTGGTGGACGTGGCTGGAGAGGGCACTTTACGTGGCCTGGATCCCGAGGAGAGGACAGAGGGGACGGGTTGGGGTGGAAGGAGCCCACCACCCGCCCCCTGGCACGTCCTCAGGCCTGGGGCAGGGGCCGGCCTGGTGGGACACAGACTCACTGAGGGCGTGGCTTGACTTGCAGAAAATGGACCGGAATCAGGATGGGGTGGTGACCATTGATGAGTTCCTGGAGACCTGTCAGAAGGTAGGCAGTGTCAGGGCTTGGGGACCCCAGTGTCCTGCCCCTGCCAGCCCACAGCCCAGCCGGGCACACGTCCCTCAGCGGCTCCCCTCAGAGGGGAGAGACGTGGAGCCCTCAGGACAGGGTCACACTGGGGAAGGAGCCTGGAGCCCCCGGCATTGCTGCTGACACTCCCATGCAGAGCGCCCTCAGGGGGCAGGACGCTGGGCCTCCGCTGGCCTCGGCCGTCGGCCTCACCCCCTGGGCGGCCCCTCGGGTGCCCCCGGCCTCCATCTGGGTGCTCAGCCGGGGGTGGGACGGCTTGGTCCATCAGTGAGTTAACAGCTCCCAGACGGCCTGACCATCAGGCCATGGGACTGGAGACAGGCTGTGCCTGACAGCTCCCCCTTCGCCCAGTGAGACAGGCAGAGTCCCTGGAGGGTTCCAGGTCCCTGACGAGAATCTGCTCACAGTGACATTGGATTTGGGCCCTGCTAGCCTGGATCTGACCAGGCCTCTCGTCCTCTCTCGATGCAGGACGAGAACATCATGAGTTCCATGCAGCTGTTCGAGAACGTCATCTAGGACGCTTGTGGGCGAGGGGTGTCCCTGAGTGGCTGTTACCACCTCTGCCCCAAAGATGCCAGGAGCAGCCTCCAGGAGAAACTTGTTTCTAATATATTTGCACAAAGTGAATAGTTTGCTGCAGACACACACACACACACACAACACACGCACATCCTTCCTCTGGGCTCGCAGGTGCGGGGGGACAAAGGTTAGGGAGGGGCTGAGTCTGGCTGAAACCTGGGTCCAGGTAACGAGAGCCACACAGCTCCCACCAGCCCCCTCCCAGGCCTCCGGGTGGGCAGCTGAAAGAGCCATGTCTTCAGGCCACTGGCTGCTGTGTGTTGCCTCGCCTGCCAAGGAGGGTCCAGGCTCTAGAGCAAAGGCCGCTCCCGTGGGAGCCCACTCGCCCCTCCTTTCTGCCACCCTCCTTTCCCACCACACAGGGGCCAGGCTCCGGAGACTGCTCTGGCCTTCTCATTCCCCAAGCCACTCCCTGCCCACTGACTACACTTCCAGGATGGCTCTGACCCCAGGACCCCGGAGGGGCAGCTGGGGGTCAAGGGAGTTCAGACTAGGAAAGAGGTGGTAATTAGAGGCAGCTGCTTCCTGGAAATGTTTCCCTGGGTCCCAGGACGCCAGCCGGTCCACTGAGCTGGTGGGAGCCCCGGTGGTGAGGGACCAGTGGGCTCTGTTCTCCTCCACCCCAGGAAGGAGGCTTTCTAGCTGGGGATGGGGTTTCTTGGTGGGGAATCTGAGGGGAACCGTCTGCCAACTCCACCTCCCCTCTCCCAGGCTGGCTCAGTGGGGATGCAGCAGGGGGCCTGCCCACACCCCTCAGGCACCCAGGTCATCGTGGGTCCTGGGAAGAGGTCACATGGCTCAGAGCCTGGCCCCCAGGAAGCCCGGGCGGGCAGAGCAGGCCTGGGAAGGGACTTCTCCCTCCCTCTTTCCTGTTGGCCCCCGTCTCCCTGAGCCCAGCAGCCTGGATGAGCCCCCTCTTCCTGGTTAGGGTCCTGGAGCCTTGTAGCCGTGCTTCCACACAGACTCACCCCAAACCCCATACAAAAAGCACAAACGCCCCCAGCAGCTCAGGCCGCAGCCCACGAGGGGAGCCCACGTCCTCCTGCTGGGCTGAGGGCTGGGTGCCACCAGCCCCCATCAGGTGGCCCCAGGGTTCTGTGGAGGGTCAGTTCTGTGCCTCAGAGCAGTGGCGGGCTTGAAGCCCACCCCCCGCCCATCCCAGCTCACCAACGTTCAAAAGCACAAACCCCGGGGATTCTGCTTGGCTGGGTTCTGCTCTGAGGATGGAGGCTGGCGTCAACCTGAAGCCAGCGCCAGCAATGAGGGCCAAGGGGCCAGAGAGCGGGTGGCAGGTCAACAGAAACTTCCAGGAGAGAGAGAGAGAGAGGCTGCTCCCGCCTGCCCAGGCCGCCCCAGGAAGAAACCCAGTCCCAGGCAGTACGGACCGTCCCAGGAACACTCCCAAAGCATACATTCCATCGGCTGCCACCCCATCTCTGCTCAGGCCTGGCCCTAGGGTGAGCAGGGCCCTCAGAGGAAGGGCAGGGTGGCGGAGGCCATGGAGGTTGGCCTGGCTCGGCCGCAGGGACCCCTTGGTACCCACACATAGGTGGTCCTCCCCCTTGGAGTTGCACTGACACCCATCTCCAGTCTGACTGGGGGCTCCCTCTCCCCTCCTCCAGGAGGGCATCAGCTTTCCCCGGCTCAGGGATATTCTCCCCCATCCCCATCCCCACCCCCTCAGCCCAGCCCTCCCAGCTGGTGTGGCTTTGCTTCTCAGGGGCCAAGGCCAAAGGAGAGGGTCACCACCATGCCCTGCCCACCCCGGCCTTGGGCCAGACTGGCTGTACGTCCAACCAGGAGGGGTCTGGCTCCCACTCTGGGATGCAAACTGGCCGCATGTCTGCATGGCAGAAAGTGTCTCCCTTGGAAGCAGCCTAGGCGGGTGGTGCCTGTTCTCAGCGCCCACCAATATTCAGTCCTGTATATTTTAATAAAATAAACTTGACAAAGGAGAGGGACTCTTGTTGGCTTTATCCTGACTCTGAAATTTGGTCCAGCCCCTCCCATCCCTGCTATGAGGCATGGCCTCTGCCCAGTGCCACACTGGTAAATGTTTAACATTCCCCGAATTGTAGCGTTTGCCGATTTCCACGCTCAATTTCAAGTTCCCAGTGTGCTATCAGTGAAGGCGGAGCGAAGAAGAGATGCCCGTGGTTGGGAAGCATTTATGAGAAGCTCCAGCCCTGCAGACTGTACACAGAGCCACGAGGTAGGGTAACTCCTTGAGGTGCCACTTGTATTTCGTTCCCAAGTCATTTCTCTGCCAGTTCCAGGAAGTCGTTTCTGCGTGTCCCCTTGGCTGGAGGGTGCAGGTCACAGGGCAGAAGCAGAATTTGCCTGAAGACATTTTCCTTTCCTGGGTCAGTGAGGGTTATGCTAGAGGAGGGGCAAGAAGTGGGAAGCTGAGGGGAGGAGAGGAAGGGGTTCCCCAACTCAGGGATGGGGAGACGGAGGTTCTGAGGGCTCTGCTACTGCTTCAAGGGCCAGCGCCCAGGCCATGTGACGTCACCTCCACTGTTCGGCTGATGGGTGTGTCATCAGTAACCGGGAGGATAGATGGCGGGAGCCCCCTTCCACCACCAAACACACCGAAGGCTCCAGTCTACCGGAGCCCCAGGGCCTTGTCACAGTCCAGGCAAGGGAGCCCTGACCTTGCTGCCTGGGATGGGATGTCCTGCGTTTGCACGGGCTGGCCACTGCTGAGGACGTTTGCCGTGGCCACAGCCTGTTGGGCACAGCCGGGAAAGCTGGGCTGAAAGATGTTGGGGCCCCCTCAGCCGTTGAAGAGTGGAGCCAGGACTTGGACCCAGGCGGGTGGCCCCAGGCCAGGTGTCAGCACTGAGCTGCCCATTTCACGGCGGGGCTTCCTGTCTCATCTTAAGCGTGTCTTTACCTGGCTGGGCCTCAGTTGCCGTATCTGTAAAATGGGCAGAAGAACCATCTCTGATAGGATCGTTCTGATGATTGATGATTATTTCCTAGCCTCTCTGTAGAAGGGTGATTCACATCAATAAGCCACCAGAGAAAGGACAGACCTTTCGGAAGGAGTTTCCAGGTGCTGCAAATGAATCTGTGATGGTCCCCAGTTGCCCTGGTAACCCCAAGGCCCATTTGGGGGCCAGCTGGCTAAGGCTATCCACACACCCCACCCTCCCACCACCCCTCAGTGTGTGGCCGCACTGACCTGCCCAGGGCCAGGAGTAAGAGCTGAGCATCCCATGGGCCTGGCTTGACCCCTTCATTCTCACAAAGACCTATGGAGGAAGGCCCTTGTTACAAAATTTACGGCCTCAGGTTCCCTGGAGGCAAAACCTCTGGGTCCAAGTGCTTTGCTTCCCATTGACCACCAGGGGGCGACGGTACCACACACCAGCCTTGTCACCAATTTCTTGCCCTAGGGTCGCCCCCACACACACACACCGTCCCCCAAAACCGACCTGGAAGGGAAGCTACTTGTCATTTCTTTCAAGACCTCAAAGACACTTTCATATTCCAGCCTCATTCTCCACTTGGTTTTCCCTCAGAAAATTATATCAAGTAATGATTCCACAGGCACACACACAGAGTCCACTGAGCTGGACACAGTTGCCAACCCAAAGTGGGTCCTGGGCCCCCTCCTAGCCCTCTCGCCAATTCACAGGGGCCCTGGCCCTTCGGGTTAGGGGAGCACCAGAGGCCAGCCAGCTCCGGTTTCACGTGATCAGCTATAATCGCGTGGACTTTGAACAGAGAATGTGCAGACTCTAGCTGCCTGCAGAGCGAGCTCTGTGGTTCAGAGACTGAAGAAGAGAGCGGGGTAGAGTCAGGGCCCAATCTGCACAGGGAGCAGTGTCTGTGGGCCGGAACCAGAGCCAGCCAAGATGAGGGCAACTGGAAGAAACTACTTAGCCATTGGCCAGAGCCGCGAGGTCCTGGAGGGACCGTGTAATGGGAGTGGGCCTGGCAGGAAGGCCCGGTGTGGCGCTGGAAAGGATTCAGGGCCTCCTGAGCAGGCATCTGATCACGGCCCTTTCTTGGGTGGTGGTAGCAGCCCGGGGAACCATCCGACCCACAGATCGCCCCCTGACAGCTGCCCCGACTGCCAAGGGCCGCCAGCCTTAGAACCGGGCTGTGCCTTTTTGTTCCGTCTGTTCCTCTAGCAGGAAAGCCCACCTTCCCTCTAACTCTCCTGCCCCAGCCCTACCTGTCTTTGCTCTGACACCGCGACCCGGGCACAGGGCTCCCTCTGTCCAGCTTTCTTGGCTGGCTTTGCACATTATTGAACCCCTGTGGTTGCAGGATCTATGTGTGCCCATCCCCCTGCCTGACATGGCCTCCTCCATTCCCCTGGCGAGAAAAGGCCTTTGGGAGCTTCTCTCCCACCGATGTGGGCGCCATGGGGACAATGAGGAAGGTCAGCTGATTGGACATCAGTCTTCTGCCTCCGCAGCACCCTCCCTCTTCTCCTGGCAGCGCCCGAGGGTCCCTCTTCCACTGTCTATCCGTGAAGTCCTGGGGTCCACCCGACCTCCAAGACCAGGCCCAAGTCAACTGGTGCGTTACCCACCCCCCTACTCCCCAGTCACAGTGGCTGGCTGGGGGGCGGGCAGCCAACCTGATTGCAGCTGATGAGGCCCAGGGAGACCTGTGCTGGGAATGCTGGGGAAAGACGCTGCTCCCTCACTATCTGAAGCTGAGGGGTGAGTCCTGGAGCTGTTGTTGCCGTTTTGCCACTGTGAGGAGGCATGGGAATGCAGCCAGTGCAGAAGATGGCCTGACTGAGGGGTGAAGAGGAAGAAAACAAGACTGGGGTGGGGGGGGGTCAGCCCTTGAGCTCAAAATCAAACTGCACCTTAAGCAACCCCCCACTCCCTAATCTCTAGACTCTTCAGTCATAAGAGTCACTAATAGGATTCACCCTCCCCCCGAAGCCAGTTAAAACTGGGTTGACTGGTACTTTCAGCTGAAAAATTCTCGACTGCTACGGCCACTGACGTCAGGCTGTGGGTGGTGAACGTGCTTGGCAGACTCCAGCGGGCCCTGAAGGAAGGGGGGCCAGGGGCCGG